GAGCTGGCGGTAAAGGGAAGATTGATGAGAATTGGAGGAGCTTTATGCAGACTTCTAGCAATTGAAAGAACAAAATTAAGATGAACCCACACATAAATCAAGGCCGAAAAGAAGAGTTTCTAGGTTGATTTTACCAGGAAAAACCGAACTCACACCCAGCTGTGGCCGGTGGTAGGGGGGAAAAAGCAGCAGATTTGGGATTCCTAGGTTGAGGGAGAGAGTTTTAAGCTTTAAATCTTGTTTTCTAACAAGAAAAGGGAAGGAATTTACCAAGATCTTACCAATTTTTTTCTTTGGTGGAGGCGCTGGAAATGGTTGGGTTCACTTCGGCTGAAGGGAGAAAGAAAACAGAGCAGACACCAAAATGGCTGGGAGGAAAGAAGGAAAGAAGAAAAAGAAAAAGGGAATGAGTCAGCCGGCCTTATCCAATAACCTTTTAACCCCTTTAAAGTTTGAAAAATTGACAGTTAGGTCCATTAATAATGTTTATTCACCATTAGGTCCCTAACTCAACTTTAATGCTCTAGGAAATTTTGGGGTATTACACCTATTTTCGGTCAAGCATAGTAACTGAATTAATTTACATTTCGGTCAAGATGAAATTTTCTTTGAAATTCTATTCGTATAGTGGATATTCGGACCAACAATTCGGTCAAGCATCATGATCGAAGTACTATCTTTTTGGTCAAAAAGTGGCTTTGTTCAGTCAAGATGCTTGACCAACTTATCGCTCTTTTCTAGTACTGTTATATTGATAATTAAATAGAACTAAATGAAAGTAGAAATAGCATCTTAGTAGAGTCATGAATTGCACCGTTGTGGGGTTTTAACTAACCCTTAGCGAAAATAAGTTATAACATAAAAGAAGATAAGAACGAAAATGAAGCATCTACTAATAAAAATATTCACAATAAAACATCAAGGTTTATTTCTTGAAAAGAGGGTGTTTAGTCTCTACATTACTTAAAAGTGTTTGATTTCTCAAGAAGGTTTACAATACAAACTCATGAATTTATAAGTGTTTGATTTTTAGAAAAGGATTTGAAAAAGGTAATTTCTCAAAAAGTTTTCTAGTCATAACTTGAATAACTTACTTTTAACTAAAATAGAGAGATGACTTGGTATCATATATATACAAAAACAAAGAAAAACTTACAATACTAGTGTTTTGGTTGAAATAAGTTATAACATGAAGGTAGATAAAGATGAAAGTGAAGCATCCACTAATAAGCAAAATTCATAATAAAACCTTAAGGTGGTTTCTTGGTAAGAGCATGTTTATTCTGTCCATTATTTATAAGTGTTTAATTTCTCAAGAAGGTTTATAATACAAACTCGTAATATTCCAAAATTTTCTGAAATTTTATAATTTAAGTTAAGGACTTATGTGGTTGAAATTATTATTTTGGGTCTAATAACTAAAATTCACAAACCTAAGGGGGATTAAAAGTGAAACCTGGTATTTAAAAGGGGTTGAGGCTGTTTTCTTTTTTTCCCCAGCCCATTTCTGCATTGTCTTCCCCAGCCCCCACCCGAAACTTGTATCCCTAAACCTTGCCTACGCCCAACACATTCTTGCTGGAAAAACAAGGTGAGTTTTAGTTCTTCTTCTTCCTCCCAAGTTTGATTTAGTGACTTATGAGCTCATGATTCTCAAAATGATGATTCAAAACCAAATCTAGCTATTGATATTCCCCAATTTTTCTGGTGCATGTTGGGTTCTTATGTAGTGTAAGGGAGGTTGTCATTTTCCAACACTTTCTGATAAGGAATCAATCGAATTTCTCATCTTTTCATCCTTGATTTGAATTGGATTAGCTCCAATTATTTAGGGTTTTCAATTTTGGCGGTGTTTTAATAGTTTTCTCCTTGATTTTGCCATAATCAAGCACTAGTAGAATCTGATCTCTTTATACTTGAAAAATTTTGACAATTGACCTTACTGTAGTATTTTGCCCATAACTCCTTTTATAGTTATCGAAATAAGTCCATTTTTGATTCTATAGAAAGCTAAGAGATAGCCCTACAACTTTTATGTTAGACATTTAAATCCAGTTAAGCTATTTTCATAGTGAAAAATCTATTGCAAGTTTGATTCTTGCAAGAAAACTTAATTGGCAGCCTGATCTTGTGTTAGTATTTTGGCCATAACTTTCTCTATAGAATGCTAAGACATAGGGTTACAATTTATCTGTTGATCACTCAACCCAGATTGGTCAATTTCTGGGTGTAAATTCTGTTTGAACTTCTAGTTTGAAATCTAACCATTGCTCTCAAAAGTTCCCAAAACTTTACTTTGTTTTCTACTTTATTCCTTCTATACCTACTGCCATATTTCATCATAGTTTTATTAGACCTTTAGTTGCTATTTTCTTACTCTAAAACCCTTTGTTATTGCTTTGTTTTGGCTGCCTTTTTACTACTACATTTTTGCTTGAATGTTGCCCAATTTTGGCTTGTTTTTCTATATTGTTTTGTTTTTGCTTAGAAAATTCCTATTGTTTAGGGCTTTTTCCAAGCATTTTGGGATTGTTTTAAATAGAAAAAAATCCCCACATTACTGTTAGTTTTTGTGCTGCTAATCTGAGCTTGGTTTCTCATATTTTTCCACCTTGTTTTGTCCAGCAAATCTGCTTCATAAACCCACCATATGTAGTGTCCTTTTGGAGTTGTTTTAAAAAGGGTAAAGGTGATTGGGATGTGTAGGAAATAGTTGTTTCTTCGATTAGAAAACTTGATACTAGGATTAGGAACCAAATCTATTAAATGGAGTATATTGTAATCTGTTTATTCATTTGATGTACTATAGGTTCGAAATCATCTCAACAGCCTCTAGTTTTTGAATTCCTTGCTTATTGGATGCCTACAAGGTGAGGTAAGTAGAAATTACGATAAATAGCCTTAGATTTTAAGGTAAAAGCTTTTAAAAGCATATTTTAAATTGTTTTGAGATGGTGGTGGGATCTAACCCAATTTTTATTAGCACTTGAGTATGACTGATTTGAAATGAAAGTTGTTATTATTTTTATTGAGTTGAGCATGCCTACATGGAGTTTTCTTGTTTGTTCTAGAAATCTAAAATTGGTTTGTGAATTTACTAATAATTCTTGCATGATTTTATCTCCAATATGGTCATGAATTCTATTATCCTGCCAGTGGGAGTTAAACATTGGCACATGTCGACATGTATTTCTATAAAGCCAGTTCATCTAGCTAGTAGGTGAATACATTGGCATTTTTTCGCTATCCAGCCAGTGGTAGCCAATTGGGAGAGTACACTGGCCATGACTAATTGAGGGGACCACTAAATAAATTTCAGTATGCATAAATGATTTATAACTATGATTTTCTTCTTGCTTGAAATTAAAATGTTTACTTGGCATGCTTTAAAATTTTAGTGAGGGCAATTCATATTTTTATTTACTGAGATATCTCATACTTTTTCGTCATTCACCATTTCAGGTACTAAAACCAAAGATGCGGAAAGACTGAGGGGAGTGACAAGCTAGAAAGCTAACCATTTGCATTTCATATTTAGATTATCTTGGAGTTAGGCTAGTTACTTCTATATTTTAGCATAGATTTTGAGATATAGATCATTCTTTTGTTAGCTAGATTGTATTTTGAGATATTGATCTAAGTTTATTTGGATTGTTAGTTATGGATTTAGCAAGTTTCGAGCCTTGTGCATTTGTGGGATCCCCTCACAAGTGTACAACGTCTGTTTCGCCCCCAAAAATTGGGTTTTGGGGCATCACAAAACTCATGAATTCATAAGTGTTCGACTTTTAGAAAAGGATTATAAAAAAGTAATTTCTCCAAAAGTTTTCTAGTCATAGCTTGAATAACTTACTTTTAACTAGAATAGAGAGATGATTTGGTATGATATATACAAAAAAAAAAAAAAAAAAAAAAAAAAAAAAAAAAAAAAACTTATAATACTAGTCTTTTGGTTAAAATAAGTTATAACATGAAGAAGATAAAGATGAAAGTGAAGCATCCACCAATAAAAAAATTCATAATAAAACCTCAAGGTGGTTTCTTGGTAAGAGGGTGTTTAGTCTCTACATTATTTATAAGTGTTTGATTTCTCAAGAAGGTTTACAATACAAACTCATGAATTTATAAGTGT